CTCTTTATTTGCAATATTGAAATGCTCCGGTAAAGACCAGCAATACTAGTGGTAGTATAAGATATACTGGCCGGATGTGGCCCAGCAGGCTCTTCTAGACGAAGACGATGCATCTTGCTCGGAAAGTGAAGCGCATAATGAGCTAAGCCAATGGATACAGCATATCTGCCCGCGGTTTCATATGTGCACGTACGACGTCGTCATTTGGTGATCTTGACATCACCCTGCCCCTGCTGCAGCGCGCGTTTGAATATGTGGATTATTTTTATTTCAAGTGTCATCTCCGAGGAGATCTTCAGACGACGGTGCATTATTTGAATTCGACAAACCAATTAACGGGCGTCTATCTATGATGCTCCTTTGACGTTGAATACTACCATTTACGTATGCTCCGCCCAATAACTTGTGAAAAAAAAAGATGATCAGACCACAAGGAGATATGGCATCCCCTTGCATTGGGCCCCTGGCTTTGTCTTAAGGGATCGAGTAATAACAATTACCAAACACTGGCCACAGTACTACACACGTTTTGCAAATGCCTAGCCTGCTGGATTTGAGTCTACTCCTTCTTTCCCTTTTTAAGTGCCGCTTAGATTTTCGTGCTAGCTTTGACTAGATTTGTAAAAAAAATATTAGTAACATTTTTATCTTTAAATAAGTGTATTATTATAAAATATACTAAATGATTAATCTAATGATACTTATTACACACCATAAATATTAGTAATCTCTTGTATATATTTGACCAAAGTTGAGTGTGTTTGACTCCAATTCTCGATATGTGAGAACGACAGTTAAAAAGGGACGGAGGGAGGAGATAGGTGGAGGAGACTCTACCAACCAAGCTACCGCTCATTTGTCACCAATAGCTATTGTTATAACCTTGTGTTGATTTTTTCTTCTTAATTAGCAGTCAGACACTAATTTCAAGGTTCAAACTTGTATGTTTACCATTTTAAGATAATGATAACTTCTTATGTTTCATACAACAGTGCCGTAGTAGTAGGATTTCAAAAAGGTTAGGCACATGTGGATGTGACCATAGTAATTTATCTTTTGGAATATGAGATTATGGATTGATATATGGTTGTGATGTTGCATTTATATGGGTTTTCACTGTTGCATGTATATATGTTGTGGTTGATGTATATATATGAATTGTACTAGATGGATTTTGAGTTCATATATGGGCTGTAATAGATGTGTTTTGTTGTGAAACTTATAACAGGTCGATTTTATGGTGGATCCTCGGATGGGCCAATTTTGTCTTAGGTGTGTAAATGGACCGATTATGTTCTAGATCCGTAACTGGGCCCATTCTATAAACAAAAGGCTATGAATGGCTTAAACCTATTTGAAGTCTAGGCTCTAGAATGTTTTTGCCCTAATAAATAAATAGGCCATAAACTAAAATTTGTCACATGAATGGCTTAGGCCCAAAAATGACTATAACAGAATTGGGCCTAAACCAGTGTAAATTTATCTTATTTAAATGAGCTCCGCGCATAACAAATTAGGCCTATAATTATATTTTGGTCCACTAATAGTATTGTCACTGTGTGGGCCTCAATAGGCCTCAAGGCATTTAGTAACATTTTGTATTATTAGATTGGGATGAAAATCAAGCGCTATAAACTTACAATAAAAGAAGGATCGCAATAAAATCTATGTCAAAAAATATGTTTTCATCACAAAGCATGGTTTAACACGTATGAGTTATGACAAAATAGACTTCTATAATGCAAACGCCATAGATTTCACTATTGTGATGAGCTCTCCAAGATTTGTGACATCTTCGGATCATCATAGATCCCATGTATATTGTAGTGAAAGCACACATGAATGCTACTTGCCAAATCCTTTTAGCACTCCACTACTTAGATTCTGTAAATAATCAAGAGAGAAATCCCTATATATATGAAACAAGAAGATATAGCTCAGTAAAAGTGTCGTTCTGGTTTGGGCCGGATTACCTCACATTGTCGTCTAGACTTGTACATTAGAGATCCAATTCCGTACTTTCCATGGTTCTAGTTGATTCCGTCCATCCTGGTTGATTCCGGTTGTTCAGCCGAAGTGTGGCATTTTGTGGATGCTGGTACCAGTTGAGCAAGGAGATTCCTAGTTGACAAAGAACATACTCTTCTGGTTCAACTTGGAGGATGTGCTACTATACTAGGAACAACCGCCATTGCTTCTTCCTATAGCGACAGTGATGTGATAGAAGACACTTGGGACAGGGAAGACGTTTGCTTCACATTGTGGAGGAGTGACCGTGGAACATCAACTCCATCTATGGCCAATGGCTTCAAGGATAATAAAAATGATGAGTTAGAGAGAGCACGAAAGGCGAGAGATCGATGCTCTAGTTTCAGCTCGTTGAAGAAATACTAGCACGGTAGGCGTGCTCGGCCGCACCGGTTTTATTTTTGCATGAATAGCAAGAGGGGAAAGTGAAGTATAGGACAGTGTCGATCTAACAATGTTAAATAGTAATGGGAACATTGTATAAAGTGTTGAACAATGTCTGAGTGGCTGAGAGTGCTCCAATTTATTCCCACATGAGGGAGTAATCTTATATGCAGCTAATAAAGAGGAGAGACAAAGATACACACCTGTGTAAGCCATCTGAATATGCAAGCGACATCAACTAATGTCAGTGTTTTTTTATTGGGTTGTAGATTCAGTAGTAAATATTTCTTTATTTTAAAATGGGGGAGAATTTTTTTTATCAATGTTGTATTTTGTTTCGATACAGCTAAGTAGGCCATTATCATATTATTGCCTAGGATGTCATGGTCATCATAAATAAGTTATGGCTTTTAAATTTTATAGAAATGGTTGAACATAAATAGATATATAGTATTTTGTTGTCGTTTTCTATGAATGTTTAGTTGTTTCTTCTGTTGCAACGCACGTGCCTATTTTCTAGTAAAAAGATAATACCATATCAAATGAGACTTTGTACACAAGACTTCATGAAAATAGATATATAGTATTTTGTTGTCGTTTTCTATGAATGTTTAGTTGTTTCTTCTGTTGCAACGCACGTGACTATTTCCTAGTAAAAAGATAATACCATATCAAATGAGACTTTGTACACAAGACTTCATGAACAAGAGAAAACTTTAATACCATCAGCAATCCTCGTTTTATGTAATAATAAATCTTTTTCTACATAACCGCATGAAAGATGTTTGGTTTGGCTATTTTAACACGTCGTTGCAATGACAATGAATAAGTTTTTTTTTGCCTTGGATGGCTCAGCTTGTAAAAAAATCACACCATGGACCGATCCAACCTTGTAGAACACTCCTTGTAGAACACTGCTCCCCTATACCTCCTCTAAGCGCTATTAGATCCCTTCGCACTCGTGGAGTCGAGAAAAATCAAAGCACCAGTTTGTCAGTCTGTCACCCTATAGCAATGTCCCCTCATACGTCACCCCACCAACCAAACAAATGCGGGTATCCCTAACTATTGGCACTGGTTTCGACCGCGTGACCGTGTCACCATTGCCATTGCCTGCCCTAATCAAAATAGCACCTTACATTAGTGATCTAACACGATAACACCATAACAATCTGTTAGTACTAATGAAATTAACCATTAGTATGATATAGGCAACTTTTTGCGACCAGGAGCAAGAGACGGCACGGCATCTCGCTGGTGAATGTGTGTTCGCCTGGGAGGTGTGGTTCAGGGTGCTGGCGCCCATCGTCCTCGCCAACCTTGCGCCATCGCCTGGAGTCGCCTTCCTCGACTGGTGGCTGCTGCACCGAATGCAGCTCGAAACGACGAGGCGCAAAGGTTTTGACTCCCTCGTCATCCTTGGAGCTTGGTGTCTTTGGAAGGAGCGTAACCAGAGGGTTTCCATGGGGCTGGTCGCACGGCCATTGATGTTGCTACTGTGATTTGAGGAGGAGGTGGATCGATGGCCTTAGGCGGGGTATGGCCACCTGGCGGCTCTGTGGGCGCCCAGGGTCCTTGGTTGATCTTTGTTGGTCGGAAATGCCGCAAAATTTGTTCTTATGTAATAGTTTCTAGAGCCTCCTCCGCTGCTTCTGTTGCAGGGTTAACTTTGTTCGGCCATAGTGTGCCGCTCGCATTCTAGGCCGACCGGCGTTTACCTATATAACAACTCCTTTTCCTTAATGATATACATGCAAAGCATGGTCGCGAAAAAAAAAACTAGCAGATCTTTAAGTGGTAAACCGGCCATGCTAAGCACATCATATGGCAATGCCATTGATGTCGACTATCATACCCGCGGAACATTACTTGGAAGTTGCAATAATAGAAGAAATTAATGGGTAGAAAATTTATTTGATTGGTGTGTCAGGAAAGGCATGCATACATTGGCTAGGAAGAACACTTCTCCATTTGAGTTTTCATTTGAGATGTTCTCACCTATCCTAGTACTATTTTTGTCCCGTTGCAACGTATAGACACTTTTGCTAGTTTAACACAAGTACTAATTCATATATGATTTTTATTTTGTTTATGCGCATTCGCGTTTGTTTTTGAGCCCAATCCAACCCTGTTCTCTGCGTATGCAGTCTACGCACCACCATATTATAGGAATATTCCGTCTTGTGGAAAACAAATGGCACTATAATCCAGACACTTTCGTGTTATTAAACCCGTATGGTGCAGACGGTCCATGCACACCAAAGGGTATCACACAAGCAGGTTGATACAATTGTATCAGTGTCTCACTGTACACGAAGGTTTCAAGGCATCGCAAAAATAATCTGCACACACTTCTATTTTTGTAATTAATCCAACAAGTCTATGCAAACAGAGCTTCTCCTCGGTCCCTATCCTCGTGTCACCTTGGAGACGGGTGACAAATCTAAACTATGATATCGTTCCCTTCAATCCGAACATAAAGATAACCAACAATTCAAATCTAAGCCTATTCCAGTATAGATGTACATCCACAAAGATATCGAGAATATTTTGGACACAAACAAACCCAAATAAATTCAGGCAACATGTCACATGGAACTGCAGCACTTGCTCTTGGGGATCTCCTGAGCTGGGCCTGGGACAATGACCTTCTTCCCTGCCAGCGATGGTGCGGCCCCATTGGCTTTTGGGTCCGCTGCCATGTTCTTCTTGCTGTGGATCTTAAAGATCTCTGTCAAGACGGTCTGGAAGGCATTTTCGACATTGGTCGCCTGCAGCGCGGAGGTCTCGAGGAAGAAGAGGTTCTCCTTCTCGGCAAACTCCTTGGCATCCTCGGTGCTTACAGCACGCTCCTCTTCGAGGTCACTCTTGTTGCCGAGCAGCATGATGACAATGTTCTTGTCAGCATGGCCCCGAAGCTCTTCCAGCCAGCGAGGTATGTGGTCGAAGCTCTGGCGTTTCGTGATATCATAGACTAGCAGAGCTCCCAAAGCACCTCTGTAGTAGGCACTTGTGACAGCTCTATACCTGCGTAGTTGAAACAATCAAGCATGAGAAGCTGCCAAGCTACTAGGTAGTAAAACAAAGATATGATGTTTCAGATAAAAGTGTGAACTGCTATCACATGATGTGTCAGCAGTGCAGCTGGGTTGCAATGGGTCAACTAATCCTTGACCCAACCTACATTTAGCTAATTATTGGCTTTGGGCTGACCAAATTCATTGAGGTCCTGGAACCAGTTGGCCCAGTGGGTCAGGGAGGGCTTCAGTAATGAAGATATGTGCACTTAGGTACTCCAGCCTGTCTTTTTGCTGCTACCTGATCACAACAGCGGCAGCACAAGAAGCAAAATCTCAATTTGCTACAGGAGCAAGCAGGCAAGGAGGGGAAGGCAGCTGATTCACTTCACCTTGATGCAGAAAGCCATCACGAAGGGACGTTGGGCCCATGAACAAGGATGGTGCTGGAGTGCTCGAGCCCTGGGTACGGCACACCAGCAGGTGGCGGCCATGGCACTGAAGCATGTCTGCACGGTTGACGCAAGCAGTGCCTCCAGCTCTAGGTACACGAAAAATGGCAAAGCAGAGGGAGAGGGAGGTCAACGACAAATGGTACGACATAGGTCAGGCCACGGTCACTCAGGCTGAGGTGACTGGTACAAGATTGTGGTTCAACCCAATGGAGCTCCAGAGTAACGAGCTGGTGCACCTGATTTTCACCTTCTGCGTCTGTAACACAGCCATGGCCGCTGACATCTCAGCAAGAAGCAGGGATGTCAGGGTGTCCCCTACAGCGGCAGCCACCTCACGCAGGCTCAACAAAAAGGCACGTAGCCATTGTGGGGGAGACTGACAAGTGCAGGGGCACCACACCATCATGCTTAACAGATCACAGACGCCATCATCCTCATCCACGGCATCTTCAGCTTTGGCAATGCAGGTAGTGCCAGGGCCCAAGGCAACAGAGACAGAGCCATCGCAGTGGGTGGTGATTGGGCTACTTGAGACCCAGGAGTGCTTGACATTGACACCAACTGGAACCAAAATCTAGTGGGCCAACCCAGGGTATTTATACTACAGTTTATGTATAGGATAGTGGGTCATTGGGTCGACCCAATAAAATCTGCATCCCTACCTAACTGGGGTTGTTTCTTTAACTACAGGATGAAATCTATGCGTACAGACAGGCAGCTAACTAATATGCAGGATGTCCAATGCATAAAATTAACAGTAGGCAACCTATCATGCATCGGATGCATCAGTGCGAATCAAAATATAGTTCAAATGAGAAACAATAGGAAAAACAACAGCAGCAGCCTAAATAAAATATTGGTATGATTGCAGTAGAATAAAGCATGTGTGCTGTTTGAAATCATAGGCATAGGTAGCAGCTACAACAGGAGTGGTCAGGAAGGAATTTGAACAAATCATTCCAAATTGTTGTCAGTTCTCAGAGAAACAAAATTAACTTATAGAAACTTTGCAGATGAATGTATTTATAGTTATAATATACCACCACATTTCAAAAATAAACAAGAATGATGCAATAGAACTTGTGCCATGATATTTAATAGGAAGAAATCCATTTTTGACCCACGAATTATTATCAGATTCCAACTTTAGCCATCAAACTCACTACCAGACATCTTTAGCCCCCTGAAGCATTCAAACTGATCATTTTTTGACCCTAAGACCATTTAAAAGTGGTTGACCAATGTGGCGCTGAGACATGGAGTTGTTTTGCTGCATGGCACTGCCAGGTGTCCACGATTCTTTTATGTGGAGGCCATGTATTCCTCTACATCCATCTTTGTCTCCCTTTGCAGCAGCCTGTGTGAGTTCATCATGAGCGTTTGTGGCACGCCTGCCAAAATTTGGCCAGAAGGTGCACAGCCTGCTCTCCTATCTTCACACAGATGGAAAATAGAAAAGTTTTTTGGAGCACAGCAAGTGGAAAAGGACTTTAATTGGTAACCTGCCAACCTGGGGCTGTCTCCAGATCTGGCTCCAGCCTCCAGATCTGAGCTCTCCCTTGGAATGGCCATGGCTTCTCTAATCTCTCATTTTTCTTCTTTGGGGCAGCAGCAGTAAGGGACAGCCTCATCTGTCTCCTAGTTAATTCCTTGCCCACAGCTTTGCCTTACCCAACTCATGTGACTTGGCTAGCAAGCACTAAGCAGAAGCTGTTGCCTCTGCTGCTGTTCCAGAGGCAGGGGGGTGCTGGCAGGGGCGGAGACAGGGGGGGCAGGGGCCTGGGCCCCCCTAATGTTCCATAGGCTTCATTAGATGTCCTCCTTAATCACCCTATAAACAGGCCCTGCTAATGCCCAGTTAGAAGAAAGCCTGGCTCTGCAGATTGCCGTCGTAGTCTTTGGCTCTCCGCGAGTGTTGTTGCCTGTCGCAGCACCCTATGCAGCACTCTCAGCAGAGTTGCTGAACGAGCACCGAACATGCAGTCAGAAAGCTTGAAGCTGCCAAGGTAGAACCTGGAAGAGACGCTAAAGCGGCAAGGTACTGCAGCACGTGACACAGTTCACAGTAGTACTAGTTTATATTTTTCTCCATTCTCAAATCAGTGAATCATATCTCTTAAAGCCAAAGGTCACTAAGTGGCTAGATTAAATAAATGTAATATTATCTCATACCTGTTCTTTTCATAAATAATCTCATTTTTATAATCCATTTAAGCATTTAGCATTTGCCCCAGACAAAGAGGTAAAAACAACCGCTAGTCTTTTTACGTCAATAATAACGGTGAAAACACCAATGCTATCAATAACAATGATCAACCTATGACACTGGTTGATTAGTTTCAATAACATATTAGATCTTATGGTCTAGTTGGTAATCGTCGAGCTAAATTTAAGTTAGTGCAGACGTAATGGAAGCACCCTTATAGTTATTTTTATATATATTTTACTTCATATTTTTTTTATCATCCTATAAATTTTGTCGACACTCGATGCCCCGGTGGATTGGCCCCCCCTATATATGGATCCTGGCTCCGCCCCTGCAGGCAGGGTCTGCACTCCATGGATGATGGCTTGAACTTGGAATCCTCAAGGAAGGGAACAGGGCAGGTTGATCTAATCAAAACCACCTCCACATCAGCTGAAAACCGGCTTCAATTGGGATGAGGGATCTAAAATGTCCAGTTTGGATACTTGGAGGACCAAAGTTTGTCTGGTATTGTAGTTCAAGGGCTAGAATTGGACTTGCAGAAGTTTAAGGTTTAAAAATGGACTTATTTCTATTTAATCTATACAAATACAAGAAAAGATGCAAAACAAACTCTCCATTTTGATGCAGACATTAAAAACATCAACTTATAATTCTATAAACAGGAAAACAAGCATCAGGACTAAACTAAATAATGATATGACTATTGCAAGAGAAACATATTACTACATTTGAAATACATAGTAAAAACTGGTCAAACTACTGAAATGCCTATTTCAAGAATGGATCATATGTGTTACTAACCCTTCCATCAATATTCTTGCAGATGCAGACATACAGTTACAATATAATGCGACCAACAAAAATTTCAGTAATTGCACATTGATCAACAAGAAGCCTAACAAATAACTACCTTTAAACACAAAATATGTCGAAGTTTCAGATCATCCACAAAAAATGGAAGATTATCCTTCCACGGCTATGAGCACATCTGAGCCACCCTTCCCTTGTATTAATGAACGTGAGCATAACATGATATAAGATTATTTTCAACGTCAAGAGTGCACAAATTTTATTTGCTAGGAAAATCTGCAAATTTTTTACATCAAAAGGTTCAAGTTTGCTTCATCAAATCCTAGGTCTAAACAATCGTATGACAATTGGTATCAGTATATATATTGCAAAGTGTGATGAGTCCATGGCTCCTCAAGTTGATCCACCTATTGTTTTTGAAAAGAAATGAAATGAACCATGTGTGTGCTCATCAAAGCAGATCAATATTTGCTTACTATAAGTTCAAATGATATCAACTACATAGCACAAACAAGTATACTAAATGAACGTAAAAAAGCATACCCAAGAAGTATCATGCACGAATGTGTCAAAATTTAAAATAACACCACAAATTTTACCTGTACAGAAAAACAATAGTTGACAAGGATAAGTATAACTACTACAACCTTCCTATGTTCACTCCTTTAATCTCTCAAGCTCGGCACCTATTCCCACCCCCCATAAAGCCATAACTCTCTAAAGCCATAAGACTATCAAATGACATCATCAAAGCAAAGCATGCTTTACCGTTGCATGCTTGTTAGGAAATATGTAGGAGCAGTGGAGAACTAATGAAATGCATTGGGTATTTGGGTATTTACCTTGGAAGTAAGGATATTGAGGTACAAGATGAATTTACAGCATCAATTCACTATCCATATGAAAAATATTACTTTTTCATCGTATTTCTAATATTATTCCTCGGTGATTTCAAGGGAAAGATTTGCATCATGTGGTCTGTGGACATTATCCAGACAGCACAACTTCCAGTGTCGAAAAAGCAAAGAACAGCACACAACTCTAGTGGCAATTCTGTATCATGCGGTGGCACACACACAACCTATGACTACAAGACCATAGCACCAGCGGCAGCCACATGCAGCAAAGAATGTTTTATTCAGTAAATCTTGTCCACCATTTACGGACCCAACCAACCCATGGAAAAATGAGAACACCATGCATAACTTGCTACCATCGATGCCTATGACATACAATGAAAACACTAGCATATTTAGTAAAGCATGTTCTGTATCCGACCAATGCACCCACAAGACCGTTGTTTCTGCTAAATCCACACTGCTGAGTTCTGGATCTGTAGGACTACGAAAATAAAATTTAGCAGGTTGTTTCTAGAGGCCACAGGTGTCCAATTGAAGGCTGCCTGGGGTCCAAATGAAAAAATAGTGGTTTTGCTCAACATTTTCCCACCATGTCACTGATGACAACAGGAGTGACAGCACATGCAACAACTAGCAGTAGTGTTTTAGTAATTAGAAAAATGTTATGCTGTATCAGGCCAGTTCACAACGCTGCATCTGTATCACGCCCAAAAACGCACACACAATTTTAGCAGACTCATACAAAAGCCATCAGGGGCACAGGACACTCCATTTAATTCCCTTGAGTAGGGTGGAAGGTAAGGCAAGCTAAGCTGACTACCTCAACAACTGGGTGCAGCGATCTACAACTGTGCTAACCACCTTTGGTGCAACAATGATGTACGATAAATCGTTCGTAACTAATTCGCGCGCGCCACATCAAAACCCACGAACAATGCATCGACCTAACACCCGAAAAATGCGAAATAAAGAGAAACAAAGCTCAAAATGACTAAAGCGCGCTGCGCTAGCTCACTACTCCGCATCACCACCCAGATCCCCACCCCACCCCACCCAGGACAACAAAAAAAAAGGAAAAATGATCGACGAGGAGGAACGCGAAAAGAGAGTGGACTTGCCTCTCCTGCCCGGCGGTGTCCCAGATCTGCGCCTTGACGGACTTGTGGTCGATGACAAGCGTCCGGGTCTGGAACTCGACCCCGATGGTGGCCTTGGAGTCGAGGCTGAACTCGTTGCGGGCGAAGCGCGCCAGGATCTGCGACTTGCCGACAGCGGAGTCGCCGATGAGCACAACCTTGAAGACGTAGTCAACCTTATCCCCGCCCCCCGCCATCGCCTCCTCCCTCCCTTGCTAGCTCCGGCTGTCTCGCTCGTGAGCAACGAAAGCGACGGCGGAGGCACGGACGAGTGAGGCGGCGGAGTGCGCGTGGGTGAAGGTCGGGCGAGGGGTTCGGTTAAGATTTTTCTTTATTTGATTGAGACGAATTTTTTTATTTTTGATTTGAGACGAAGCAAGCGGCCGGGCGAGACCGCGGACACTGCTGTGTCGGCCTCCAGCCCCAGGCTGGGCTTTGTTTGGGAAAATTGGTTTGATACCGTCGAAAGATCACCGTATTCGGAACATTCCGTCACGTTCGGAGCAAATGCCGTCGTCTCCGTTAAGCTCCTCCCCTCCTCCTTCCTGAGGTGAGTGCGGCCACTGCCTCTGCTTCAGGTGGGACCCGCTCCAACTATTGCCGCTCCAGAGAGAGAGAGCAGAGCGGTGGGGCAGCTGCCTTGGTGCCGGCGGCACTTAACTCCGCCCTCCGGGGCGGCGTCGGCTTCGACACGCGTGGGTGCTCCGTGCTGACCGCACTCGGCTCCGGCGGGGAGCTCCGGGTAGCAGGGTGGTAGCGGGCACTGGCAGGCCCTGGTGCCCATGGCGGCAAGCTCCGCTGTCTCGTCTGCTGCTGCGGCGGAATTGCGAAATGGTGCGCGCAGCTCCAGCGGAGGTGGCTTCGATGAGCCACGAAGCTGCTCCGGCCACGACGTCTGGCGTGCGGCGGCCGGAGTGCTCGCTGCCAGCGTCCCGAGGCAAGGGTAGCGCCGGGCTTGAGCTCCGAGCTCCCGGTGCACGAGGCCCTCGCGCCGCGCCGGTGACTCCTACACTCGCCCTCATCCTCATCACTACTATTTCTCATCGTCCACGGTACCGGCTCCACGGCGGGGGGGAGGTTCCGCCGCTTCCACCACGGCCGCCGCGAGGACCACCACCGAGTGCGTCTCTGCGGTCTTCTTCACCGACCACGAGGCCGAGCTCCCGGCGAGCTCGACCGGACGCTGCCGCCACGCTTCCCACCACAACGTCACCGCCCGCTCTGCCGGATCGACGCCACCGGCGGGCGCCCACTCGCGACGCTGCGACGACCATGACGCGTCCCCAGAAGCTCGGCGATCGCGCGCGCGCGATCGACATCATGCCGAGGGTGGGGTACGGAGCTCCTACAAGTTCCCGACCAAGACCGGCCCAGGTAAAGGGCCCATCACGCGCTCCTTCTCCATGGATCGCTTGTGGGCGGCCTTGGCCGGAAGCCGCAGAGGCGCAGAACCAAGGAGCCTCACATCGGCAACTCGGGGAGACCGGCCAGAGCCTCGGCGGCGGCGGCGGCGGAAGAAGCAGAAGAAGAACGTCGTGACCCATGGTCCCACCTGCAGCAGAGACAGCGGCCGCACTCACCTCAGGAAGGAGAAGGGGAGGAGCTTGACGGAGGCGACGGTGTTTGTTCCAAACATGACGGAATGCTATATGCAGGTGACGTTGTATTCTTTCGGTGGTATTTTACGGAGTAAAGTTTCGATGGTATTTTCTGGATACGGTGATCTTTCAATGCTATGAGACCAATTTTCCCGTTTTGTTTTGGTAGGCATGGGCAGTCCCACCATGGCGTTGCTGGGCCCACCTCGAGTAGCGGGGTTAGTTTATTTATTACTCCCTCCGTAAAAAAAGAATACAATTCTCGCTTCCCGACAAGTCAATCTATTTGAACTTTAATCAAAATTATATAAAAAATACTAACATTTCTGATGTAAAATTAGTATCATTATATTAGTTATAGAATATATTTTTATAATAAATTTATTTGGAGACATAAATATTAATATTATTTGCTATAAATTTGATCAACCTTAAGCTACTTTGACCGGCATGGATCCTATAATTACGTTCTTTTATGGACGGAGGGAGTACTTGCAAATTATGATGTTGGTCAAAGTTTCATGACCAATAATTTGGAATATAGTGAGTATGTTCACCCTGTTCTGCAGCAGTAGTACTTTTCAGCGAATGAATAGTATTTCCCTCTAACAAAAAAATCAGTGTAAGCATCAGCAGCCAAATTTCAGCAAACGAGCAGGGTAGTTAACGGGAGCCTAGTAAAAACACGATCACATATTATAAAATCTTACAGGCAACAAATGGAATTTCGTAGTAACTCGAGCGGTTTTTCTTTACTGTTCCAAAAGGCTCCATAGGTATTTTCCCCATGTATTGGAATCGTGTTACCGTTACAAGAGAATCCAATGGTGAATTTTCTATAATCAATTCGGAGTTGTCGTAATGTTACATTGGGAATAGGATTTTCTATATAGGAACCTAACCATTAGAAATTTCTCCATTGCGAAGGTAGTGACCGGTGCTAACCTGCATGCTTGGAACAAAAGTGTAATGCACCTACAAATCTACAAGACTACAATGCACCGCCATAGCCCATTGACTGCTGTCTACTTATTCTGCCCACACAGGCTGGTGCAACACAAACACAGTGCACCGCCATAGCCCATGGCGCGCACACGTTAAATACAAATGCAAGACGCCGACGCAAAAGGCATAAATCAAATTGCATCTTTATTTACTAGGTCGGTGCTGACAAAGCCATTCTCAAGAGCATTATTCCCGCAGTATTAGTGTATCACGGCGCAACAAGTCCACAATCGGCAAAGATTTAAATACCTGGATCGATGGATGCCATTTACAGAAGAGAAACGAAAGGGGCTGAAAGAAACCCGGTGAGTGATGCTTGTTCACCCACCGCTATGATGGAAGGCCCATGTGAAAAGAGGATCCGCATAGAACTGAGCTTCTGGGTTCTGGCACTCAAACACGGGATCTAATCACCACGCTAACATCTTGGGGCAGTTCGGACGTCTTGCAGCTGGAGAAGATTTGACTGCTGGTGATAAGCTCTTTACCCTCCTATTACCAAAGTGTTGACAGGTTAACAGTCAAGGGGACAACCTCTCGATGTACCACACTGTATTCCCATCTACTTCTCTCCGCGAGTATTGTAGCCTGTTTACATCAAGGTATCACACGTATCAACATACATGCTGTCCCGTCCTGGGGCATACAGGGTTTTCAGGAAAATGGATAACAGAATAAAGGATGATTGAAGCATACCGGTCATGCAGTCGAGACTGTTGTCCTTGCCAGAACTCAAAAAGGGTTGGTGTCAATCTGTAGCCACCCCAGTATTCAGGCTTCGGAATCAAGCTACTGCAGTTACAGAACAAGCCAGGGGATTAAGATTTAAGACTTCAGATAACACAGCTAATTCCAGAATTCAGTAGCCACAAATTTCTTCACATAATCAAATATATCAAAGTTTAGCAGCTTTGACCAAGGTGCTGTTGATAGGCATCTAACTGAAGATTCGTGTTTCACAGGAAGCACGCCCCCTAATGCCAACACAGTGGTTCTTAGACTTTGCGATATACTATACATCTGTGCTCCACAACCCACATGGCACAATTCAAGGAACAGTTCAACAAAATCCCTCTCATGTCCTCTTTGGCAAGAGAGTAAACAATAATATCCGACAGCTGCAATGCAAGAGGATTATTGTGGTGCTGGTGCATACTACTGTATACTGTCGATTGACACAGGGTATGGCTACAAAGGTGCAGATTGAAGTGATTATGCATTATCCAGTATCAAAGCTACTCTTCACACGAGGATTATGGATTGGTTGAATACTTTGTAACCTCCTGTGGCCTCTCTTGAGCCTTCGTTAAGCTCCTTGCTTAGTTTAGTTTCTGTGGTAGGTGTTAGGGTGTGGGTTTCTTTTTGGCGTTAAAAAAAAATGCTGGGAGGTCTTTTGCCCCACAGTTTCCTTTCAAGGGAAAAAAAAGTGCAGATGTTTCATGGTTATGTATTTATAGTTATGGGGATTGATCAGTTCATGCTCACAAATAAACTTGAGTATGATGAGCTACTGATCGCTATCCTTGAAAGTTGAAACTGATTTTATTACAGTAGGTTGCTTATAGTCTTCTATGAAGATAATGCTTCCACTTTCTCAAAATGTAACGCACAGTTCGACCCAGTGAGGTCTCTAATTCGGTAATTCCACACTTTGACCGTTAATACCTCACATATTATAATGACCATGACCATCAAATTCGCGTCATATGAAAGTACATTAAATATGAATCCGGCGATGCCAAGTTGCATGGTATAATCTACAAATTTTAGACTAAGTGGGTTAAAACTTTAAAAAATTTGAATTTGGGTTGTGTCCATGCCTTTTGTGTTTACCATTACTATGACACCAAAATACTATATCAATGTGATAAAATGGCAAATGAACTGTCAGCAAACAAAGCAGCTTAAAAAGGATTTTTGATGGCTCGAAAAGGACAAAAGAATGTCATGAATACTATGGACCGGGACCCTGTTGTCATGTTTAACTCACCCATCAGAATATTTTTGTTCCAATTCCTTGTAAGCCTGTTGAAGAACTTCTCTTCCAGCAATGACAGTACTCTGTTGAATATCATTAATTAATACTCTATGGTTTTTCTTCTCAGCAGATATAATTCCATTTAATCATTCAAATAAAAGATGTGGAAAGCTTGTGATCCTAAAAAACCACAGTACCTGCTTGCTAACTATGGCACCAAGCTGACTTCCACGTGGGCGGCCGTGGAAATATTTATCTGATTCTTCTTCTGGAACCTTCTCAACTGATCCTTCAACTCTTACCTGCATCCCACATATCAGCCAATTAGAGCCTGCGATGTGCAGTCTTATAGGCCCAGTTATACAACGTGGCTCATACCATGTCCCTTCACAAAAGAACAGTACTGCATGCATCAGTGTAACTGAGATCCAGTTAATAATTAAGAGGTACAAAATCAAGTGGTGAATAACATGGAAAGAGACCAGAAAGGTAAAATATACAAAAAAAAAAGTAGATTCCTAAATGGACTAAATAAACTCCGCCTATGGTGGGGCGCCTTTGGTGTCCCAGCATAGCAGATCCCAAGCCCTGGTAAAGGAGGAGGGTTGTGTTAGGCGTGGCGAGCCAATGTAAAAACTTAGCCACTTTAATGGAGATGAAACCCGAAAGAAAATCGTTGGGGTGTAACCCTCTTAGCGACGCGCCATATCGGAACCCGGGTATGGTGTTAAATGGGCAAGGGCTGGGTCGTCACCCCGTGACGCGCCGCCGTGTCGTGATCTCTGGCATGGTGTCAAGTGAGCAAGGATCGGGTCGTCGCTTCCTTAGTGGCGCTACATCGGGCGCCGGTGTGTAGTGAAAAATGAGCAAGGGTCTTCGCATCTGAGTCGACGGGTGCGAAGGGTAAGGAAGCTAGTCGAACCAACTAGGATCCGTTTAGGTAGCTGGAATGTATGGTCACTTACAGGTAAGTTAAGAGAATTAGTTGATACCGCGACTAGGAGGCGTGTAAATATATTATGCGTTCAAGAGACTAAATGGAAGGGTCGGAAGGCGAAGAAGGTGGACAATCACAGTTTCAAGCTTTGGTACACAGAGACAACATGCGAATAGAAATGGAGTAGGAGTTTTGATTGATAAGAGCCTCAAGAATGATGTGGTGGGAGTGAGAAGGCAAGGAGATAGGATTATCTTAGTCAAGCTTGTCGTTGGTGATATGGTCTTGAACGTAATTAGTGCGTATGCCCCCCCCAGTAGGCCTCGGACGAGAGTGCTAAGAGACAGCCTGGGAAGACTTAGATGGCCTGTTAGAGCTATACCTAGTAGTGAGAAGCTTTTTATAGGAGGAGATCTTAATGGGCATGTAGACACTACAAGCCTTGAGTTTCGAGGCGCCATGGAGGTTTTGGGTATGGTAGTAGTAATCGGGAGGGGAGGAAGTTCTGACTTCAAGCGGTAGCTTTTGACTGATGATAGCCAACACTTTCTTTAGAAAGAGAGAATCTCATCTAGTGACCTTCAAAGAGCGGACAACATCAGAGTAGCAGATTGACTTTGTCCTCACAAGAAGAAAGGACAAACGAGCATGCTTGGATTGCAAGGTGATACTGTGAGAGTGTGTTGTTTCTCAACATAAGCTTTTGGTGGCGATTTTCGTTTTCGGTGTGCCCGTAGGGATAAACAAGCTAAGATTCAAAGAACAAAGTGGTGGAAACTGAAAGGGGAGACGTCAGAGGTATTTAGAGAAAAAGTTATCAAAGAGGGCTCTTGGAAGGAAGAAGACGACATAAACAACATGTGGGAGAAGATGGCAACCAACATTCGGAAGGTGGCCTCAGAGGTGTGTGGAGTAACCAAAGGAAGTGGAGACGAGGCTAAAGATACTTGGTGGTGGAACGAGGAAGTCCAAAGGGCTATTAAGGAGAAGAAAGAATGCTATAGACGCTTGTACCATGATAGGAGTGTGGACAACATAGAGAAGTACAAGGTGGCAAAAAAGACTGCAAAGCGAGCTGTAAGTGTGGCAAAGGGTAGAGCGTACGAGGATCTTTACCAACATTTGAGTACGAAGGAAGGAGAGAAGGACATTTATAGGATGGCTAGGGTTCGTGAGAGAAAGACACGGGACTTCAACCAAGTTAAGTGCATTAAGGATGAAAGGGAGCATCTCTTGGTGAAGGAGGATGAGATCCGACATCGATGGCAAGAGTATTTTGATAAATTGTTCAATGGTGAGAATATGGACACAACCTTTCAGTTGGATGACTCTTTTGATGACACCAATAGGCGCGCTTTGTCGCGAGAATCCAAGAATCGAGGTCGAGAGGCGTTGAAAATGATGAAAGGAGGTAAGGCGATGGGACCGATGGTATCCCAATCGAGGTGTGGAGATGCCTCGGGGACATAGCTATAGTATGACTAACCAAGTCGTTCAACAACCATATTTTTCGATCGAACAAGATGCCCGATGAGTGGAGAAGTATATTGGTACCGATTCTACAAGAATAAAGGGATATTCAAAGTTGTACTAATTATCGGGAATTAAGTTGATGAGCCATACTATGAAGCTATGGGAGAGAGTTATCAAGCATCGCTTGAGAGCAATAACGCTGGTCTCTGTGAACCAATTTGGTTTCATGCCCTAAGGTCAACCATGGAAGCCATTTTCTTAATAAGACAAGTTATGGAGCGGTATAGGGAGAAAAAGAAGGACATACACATGGTTTTTATTGACTTGGAGAAGGCTTATGATAAAATACCAAGGAATGTTATGTGGTGGGCTTTGGACAAACATAAAGCCCCAACGAAGTACGTCGGGCTCATTAAGGACATGTACAACAATGTTGTGACTAGAGTTCGAACAAGTGATGAAGACACGGATGACTTCCCGATTAGGATAGGACTACATCAAGGGTCGACTTTGAGCCCTTATTTGTTTGCTTTAGTGATGGATGAGGTCACAAGGGACATACAAGGGACATCCCTTGGTGTATGCTTTTCATGAGACGATGTAGTGCTAGTTGATGAAAGCCGGACAGAGTGAATCGTAAACTGGAGTTATGGCGAGAGACTTTGGAGTTCAAAGGTTTTAGACTCAAAGCAGAACTAAAACCGAGAGTATATGAGATGTGACTTGCACTACTACTACTCGGGAGGAGGAAGATGTTAGTTTGGAAGGTCAAGTAGTGCCTAGGAAGGATACCTTTCGATATTTAGGATCAATGCTACAGAGGGACGGGGACATTGATGAAGATGTTAGCCATAGAATCAAAGCAGGGTGGATGAAGTGGCGGCAAGCGTCTGGTGTCCTATGTGACAAAAGGGTACCACAGAAGCTAAAAGGCAAGTTTTATAGGACGGCGATTAGACCTGCTATGTTGTATGGTGCAGAATGTTGGCCTACGAAAAGACGACATGTTCAACAGCTAAGTGTCGCGGAAATGCGTATGTTGCGTTGGATTTGCGGTCATACAAGAAGGGATCGAGTTTGGAACGATGATATACGTGATAGATTAGGGGTAGCGCCAATTGAAGAAAAGCTTGTCCAACACCGGTTGAGATGGTTTGGACATGTGCAACGGAGACCCCCAGAGACACCGGTGCGTAGTGGCATCCTAAGCCAGGATAGTAACGTGAAGAGAGGCAGAGGAAGACCGAAGTTGACTTGGGTAGAGGCAATAAAAGGAGACTTGAAAGGATGGAATATACCCAAAGACTTAGCCTTAGATAGGAGTGCTTGGAAGACAGCTATTCACGTGCCTGAACCTTGATTGCTTCTGATGGGTTTCAACTCTAGCCTACCCCAACTTGTTTGAGACTTAAAGGCTTTGTTGTTGTTGTTGTTGTTGTTGTTCTAAATGGACTAAATAAAAGTAAGAAATCAGACTGTAAAATGTTAATGAGATCTTATTTGACACTTTCAACACCACAATTTATTATAGATTTTGAAAAATGGGTAACATAACCCATTGGAGAAGCTCTAATATTAAATTTGTTCTGTAATACTGATTGCTGTTTTACCCTTACAGGTTGCAATGTGATACTGCACAAAACAGATCCTTTGAAACTACCATAGGGATTGATAAATTCACCTGACGGTTCATCTCATTCCAGTAGAAAAGGAGTGCTGCATTAGGGTTTTCAGACAAGTCATGTGCCTTCCGGCTACCATAATTTGTATACCTGTACAAAAAAAAAGACAAGCAAATCATGACTCGAAAATTTCTATGGAATTCCACGGGGTGACGGGGACAACAAAATTTATGTCACATACCAAACAAATCCCTGTTTATCAACTCCCTTCAAAAGAACCATCCTCGAAGAACTGCAGATAAAATAGTAGGACAAATAATTATCATATCAAATTTCTAATACAATATTGTTAACCAGCTTAGCTGAATGAAATATGTTATTAAAGAACAAATAGCCATACGGTTTTCCCTCCTTGTTGACAGTTGTTAAAGCCATCGCATTGGGCTCACGCAGCCCGGCTGTTACTGCTTCATCAAACCATTTAAGGAACTACATATATATATGAAAGAACCATTTGTTAACAACAAAAGGTTTTTCAAATAAAAGGATGAATATTTCCAAGGTTTCTTCCAGTATGGCCATACCTGATCAAATGGATCAGACATCACTTGGCTCTCAAGAAGTTCAGGGGAAATATAGTTCTCCCTGAGAGATGAAATGTCAACAGATGGAGCTTTTCCAATTCTCACACACATCGATGTGCCAGGGTAGGGAGGAAGCTGAAGTCCATATTTGTTCAAAATTGGTGGGGGGACAAACCTACCCCCAAGAAAATGGTGTGGGCCAGTGAACTTTTTCGCACAGAGCTTAGGTGCAGTCAATGACACCTAGACACGTCAATTACTTAAAGATGAAATTTGGAATTTTCAAAAAGCATTTTCTTATGTTGATAGATGAATTATAATCCAGAAAGCTTCTAAGTAGGACGCTAACCAGCATATCAGGTTTAATCCCTCCTCCATCAACATCTCCCTCTTCAACATGCCATCCAGAAGGGATATCAATGGAAACAATTGCTGGCCTTTTATCTGAATTTCCAATAACACTCAATGAAACAAGCGTTTGGATAAGATGATCGAAAGGTGGTCTGAGTATTCCTGTAAGAGATCAAAGATTTCCACAGTGAAAAAAAGGTAAAAACGATAAGAAGCATGATTGATTCATGTCAAGTATACAATTGCATACTGATTTGAGTTCAATAGATTCAATTTACTCTAAATTATAGCACCGCCAACATTTTCTTAATTATCAAGCTGTCCTTATTTGATATAATATTGCTGCATTGAACCAGGACACACTTGCCCCCCTAAATAACTCTGTAATACTCGATCCAAAAAAAATTGTATGATAAAAAACAAGAATCCATCCTATTTACCTCAAAATGATGTTACCAAAAGCTCAGTAGAAACTCAATAGTAACCACATTCTCCATTATGAGAAACATTATTGTTTTATTTTAACTGAAAGATTATCTATCACTTTGCTCACTGCCTGTGTAATAGAGCTCTAATTTGTTTCCCATGCTAATTAACAATTGAGAAAAAGTCTGTTTTACGACCCTCAACTATGGGCTGAGTCCAGTTTCAACCCTCAGTTACAAACCCATTCACCTTTCAACCCACAACTATAAAAATGGTTCACTTTCCAAGCTTCTCTCAAACTCAGAGTGGTTTTAGTTGATATGGTCACATGACCAACATATTTTCAATTTTAAATTTATAAATGGCTTTAAAATTTCAAGAAAAATCTAAATGACTTTCTGTAAGTGAAATAAAGAATAATAGCATGAAGTAGCTATAGCTTTGAACTAAACTAAACCCTTTTCACTTTGTCAATCAAACAGGCTCCATACCAAATTGATTTTTAGGTTCTTTACTCCTATGCGCAACTGAACTTTTCTATTAAAAAAATAAAGTCTTTTCTAAATTTGGAAACCATACCCTAATTTTGCAAATTAAAAAAATAGTATAATGCTTTTAAACAACTCTGACAATGTATCCAATGCACATATGAGATTAAAAATATCAGTTTTCTCTAGAAGAAATTAAATGGCAACTAGAATGCAATAAATTATTTTTATTTATTCCATAAAAAACACAAAATATTTCATATATACGAATATATTTAAGTTGTAGATACTCCTCAGTGGGAGTGAATAAAGTTGAAAGTTTTTCTTAAGATACTCTATCGATTTGTCTTTTAAAAAAAATGAAGGAAGCTTTATTTAAAATAAAGTTCCGACCTCTGTAACAAACTAATAAGGAGGTACACAGCCAGTCAAAAGAAATAAGAACACAAAGCTTGACTGATTTATAAAATACAATAACAGTCTTAGCCTTGGCCATGTCATCCAAGGTTGAAAAGTGAAAGGTTTTCATAGTTGAGGTTTAAAAAGTGAATGGTTTCATAGTTGAATGTTGAAAAGTAGACTCAGCCGTCAGCCCATAGTTGAGGGTTGTACAGTGGACTCTTTACAGTTTCTAAAGTCCAGTTAATATTGGAGAACAAAGTGAAGTTTGATAGAGAATCTAATCCATAACCCTATTTCAATGTAGTAAGAAATAGAATATATTCACAAGGAGTAAAGTACAGGTAGCAAGCAGAAAAGATTAATCTGTGGCTCAAGCTTGACATTAAATCAGTGAACACAAATTAGAACAGCAAGGAAGGATACAAAAAGCAGATGTACCATGAAATGAGAAACCAAACATTGCATCAACAATAACATCAAACTCCCTTGATAAGTCATTAGGTAGGTCTTCAACAGGTATGAATGGGATCGACAGTGATTCAAGCTAAAAAACACGAAGGGTTCATGTTATATTGGAAACAGAGAACCATACAGCATACCAAGAAATGAGGGAGGTATAATGGTTTACCTGAGTAACGAGACCGGAATATAGAGGTTTGGGTGTGCGTTTTGGGTAGCAAATAGATGGCCTATATCCAAAGTGATAAAGATGACGAGCAGCTACCAGACCATCACCACCATTATTTCCTGGACCACAGATAACAAGTACCCTTGCACGTTCATTCAACTTGTAAACCTGTGTTGATTATGAACATTTTCAGAAAAAAGCAAGTGAGCAGGCACAAATTTTTTTTAAAAAAAAGGTTGATTTAAGAAGGGAAACTAAAACTAATATAGGCAGGCACAGAATATGAGGTCCTATAGAACATATACAGCACACTGTATGGTTTTCCATCCATTCGTACTAAGTGGGGGTTCATAAATTACAACTACTAAGCCACCACAGTTAGTAGTTGTTTTATTCACCTTTTAGGTAGCATCAGAAGGTATGTCGAATCACTTAGCAGGAATGCTAATTCCAATCTCACTCAACAAGAGCAAAAAAACTATAGCTAAACTCAATTACTGACTATTTTGTGTAAAATTTAATTATGAAATTTTATAATTTGCAGAGTAATTCAACCATAGAATAGAGATAGAATCCTTTATACTAGCCAGCCCCTAAGATGACTACCTTCTACCTGATCAAGTTCAGGTAGCAGATTACCAACACAAGTGACAGCATGGATACGATGCAATTTGCTAAACCTACAGAAGCCTGATTTCCGAACTAAACGTCGCGATGGAGGAACGAGGATCACTACCATCAACAATGGTGCATGGACATGGACATTTTTTATCGGTCTGCCAAATCACCTGATTTGTTGAGGCTCAGGCACATTAAACAGAAAAAGAAACTAACAAAACATTGCAAATTCAGCTGGAGAGCAGCACGCCAGCACGCAGTGCCCGATGCCCTTACCTCCGCAAGGGCTGCCGCGACGCTCAATCCAGCGAGTTCCTGGAAGCACAACAATCAGACGATCAGCCACCACTACCCCCACGCAATAACCGGGAAAAAACCAGCAACTGGGAGACCATGAGCTGGTCGACGCTGAACCCGAGCGGGCCCATGAGCTGCTCGTCGATCTCCGCCGCGTCGCGCTGCGTGAGGTGCGTCACCTCCGCCGCGGCGGCCGCGGCCGCCGACGCCGCCAGCGACGCCATGCCTCGACTCTGCGGGAGGGGGGCAAAGGGAGCGCCCGGAGCAGCGGCGGGGAAACTGGGGAGGCGGCGTGCGGGCAGTTGCAGGCGGTGGGCGCGGCTATTGTTCTGGCTGCGAGGGGAGGGGGAGAGAGAACGGGGGTTGGTGGTGGCGCTGGCGTTGGCGGCGGAGAGGAGGAATGGCATAGCAAGGGTGACGGTGGTGGCCGATTTGTTGCGGGTTCTGAACGCGACGGCCAGCATCCTCTGGAGTGTGGTCCTGACCTGGACTGCTGCCTCGGCCGACTGGCGCCAAGCCGCCAACTGGTTCACGACCAAGGGTACTTGAACGGGCGTGTTCGGCTGGCTTGTTCTCCCGCTCATGAAATCACTGTTTATATCTTGTCAGAATAGTATTTTTCTTTCATAACAATTAGCTGGAACAGTATTTTTTAGTCCTGCCGAACAAGCCGTGGGCGTACTATGGGCTTAGCTATGCGGCGCTGTGCCTGGGGATTGGCTTTTCTCGTGTCGTCTCACCGGAGAGTTTCGTTTCGTTTCGTTGTTTATGAGACTCCCCATGTCACCCGGAATAAAATGAAACTTAGGTGAAAAACTTGCTCTTAATACAAAGTTTCATTATATGATTTCGTAATATCGGGGTTATGATACCCTGGATATTTCAAGACACCGGTTAGTCAGCCACTCAGGCGGCTCACGGTACACAAGCTGGTATAAGACTAAACGACCGAGGCCCAGCTAAACTACGTTGACCTAGACCAAACACTAAGGTAGGGGTTGGCCACGACCTCTCCTCTCTACCTTCACCGCACGCCTTGCAACACCACAAGACCTCTCCCACGTCCCGACCCGTTGGAGAAACGGGGAGAGATCGTACTCTGCTAGGCGCACCTGCTCTGACAAGAGTAGGCACGCCGCACTGACCCCGCAAAAATTGAGGGGATAGCAGTCCCCTCAGTTCGGTCAGACGTCATCCCTACGCCACACAGCAAAGACAAGACGACGACACCACCAGCGGCGCCTAGTACGGTGACCCACCATCCAAATACTGCCCAACGAGACAGGTGTACGACCCCACCCACTACGGGATGGGGTTCACGACAGCGGCCTTGACATTGAGGCCATCCAAGCCGATGAAGGCCACGACTCCGGAGCTCGGGATCATGGCCACCAGCTCCGCAAGCAACAAGACGACCAACAACCTGGAGGCGGCTACCAACTCCCATACGACGCCCCCAGGAGATCAGGAGGCGATGACGAAGGCCACGGTGAAAACACGTCGCACAAGACGGCTGGCAAACCACCATCGTGCCTACAGTGCAGCCACAACCGACACAGTAGCACCACGCCACCCCATGTCGCGACGTGGGCACAAGACTACGACAACAACCACGCCTAGACGTACGCTACACCAAGTCAAGATGGCGTTTCTTGCAAGCCAAGTTAGATAGGCCTCCTTTTCAGGCTCAAGACCCCTCGGTCGGAAGAACCTCCTTCTTTGTATGTGACCTGGCCCTGGACTCTATATAAGGGCAGCCAGGGCACCCCATCCAAGGCATCGGACTTTCGAAGCTCTCATTTGGATAGTCCATCTCCTAACTCTAGCTCCATTCTCCTACCTCCTCCACCATTCTTGCACCCTTATTGTAAGAACTTCAGAGCATTCAAGCGAGGAACACACACTTGATCATCTCTGAGACTGGACGTATGGCTCCAGTATAAATCCTCGTGTCTTTTGGATACTACTATCGTCTTCCTGGAGCAGTGCGTATAAATTTACTGGTCGATCTACAAAACACCGACACATAAACATTTTATTATGTGACTTATAGAGAGTTGATAATCGTGTCAAGAGAGTTTCATCCCTATAAAACTCAATTATTCTCTCTCTTCATTAATATGTTGTCATGTCATTAAAATTGTATATATAGCAGGCTATTAAATACAAATAAAACTCTTACGAAACTTTTGCCTTAGAGCTTCCTTAACGCACCGCATGCTGCCCCAACTGGCATATATGCGTACAATTTCCATGTCACCTCTATTAGTATCTTTGTAGTATGTCAGATATGCTTGCAGTAGTAGCGAGTGATTCCTTTAACAAAAGTGTGAAGTAATCACTCGGCGCGCGTTGGAGTGCTGGAAAGATACATGTGACACATTTATATCGAGACCACACCACCCACTAGAGGAGAGAGAATGATAAATGCATGTGCTACTGATGAGGTTATATGGGAACCACACCACCCACCAGAGGAGAAAGAAAAGGAATAAATGCATGTACTACTGATGAGGTAAACATCTTAAAAGTCTACATTGTGTTGACAGCGAAAACGGCCGGGGAAAGCCGCAAGAAGCGGATCCTGAGATCTCTCAGGATTTCAGAAACACGTGACCGGATGGTGGTGACCTGAGACGTGCTAGATTGATAAGGAGGAAAGATTGATCAATAATTTAAAGTGGAACATGTCGGTGTTGCTCCAGACAATTCCAAATATGCGGCTAAATAGCCAATGAGATAAGGCTATCGACTAAAGAGTCGATATCCAACATGTTCATGATGCAGAATAAGTAAAATAAGCATGTCGACAATTATCGGGTATTTAATTGTATAGATCTTTAACGGCCGATGATCATAAGAGTATGTAAAGGTGTGATGAGTAAATATGAAAGCATTTATATTAATTGAGAATCATGCTAACTTTTAACCAAGATAAAAACAAGCACAAGCATATAGACAGCCAGTGTATTCTCAACGAGCAGGCTATTAGCTAAGAATAGACGATTCTAGTGATAAAGTTGTACAACATGCAAACATTCATCCATTGGATATAAGTAAATCTAGAAACTAACTAGACTCAATCTATTATACCGCCAACAGATCGAATCAGCTGATGCAACATTGACGATAGGACCCCGATCAGAGACTATCAATAGGTAAATTTACTCATATTTCAATAGAATCATGAACACACATTATACACATGAAAGCTCAGACTATCGGTTAGGCAACCGAAGCATGTGAAAGTAAGCTCATAACATGCAAACAATCGACCACTAAGCATAGACAGATCTATAAACCTATCAGATGTAACCTATTATCTCTAACAATGGGGTTCGACCGAATCGATGACAGACATAATAAAGATAACAAATTAAAACTTCAAGGAAAACAAATCTATTCATACTTAACAGAATCATGAAAACATGTTATGATCGTGAAAGCGCGGGCGATCGGCTAAATAGCCGATGCGAACATAGCATGCAGTCAGAGGCTATGTTTGACCATAAGTGAAACTTGTCAATTGATAATTTCTGATCTATAGTGCTAATAGTGGAGGTCGACCGGTTCGATGGCAGCCATAATAGCAGTTCTAGACTATATTTCATCAACTAACAAACTTACTTAAGATCAGACATGCCTTAACCATATGCTATCTTCGATCAAGATTGGAATAAAACGACTAATTTAGCCGAAACCATCGCCAAAGTGAGATCTAGGCAAGATAGAACAACAAGACGATGGTTTGATAAGATATAAAGCCGATCCGTTTCAATCTTAATCGGGTAAGGGGTGATGTTGTTACAAATAGTAAGAGAACTAGTTATAACAAGATCGATAACTAGCAAATCTACTAAAAAAAGCAAGGAAACTCTACTGATCTTAATAGATTTAACTAATAACTGATCCGTATCAAAATTTGTACGAGGTTGGCCAGACTAATGTAGCCTTACAAATTTTGATAAGAATCAATGGGTAACTTGAATCAAGAATTGTACGAGGTCGGCCGAACCGATGCAACCTCACAATTACTAATAAAAGTTGATAACTAACTTATACAAAGTTTACAAGAGGTCGGCCGGACCGATGCAACCTTATAAACAAAGTATAAGTCGTGACAGTACTCACAAACAAACCGGAGATCAGCCGAACCGATGTAGCCCTGCTTGCCCGAAGAACTCGCCGAGATCTACTCTACTCCTACTCCTAGGGTTGGCGTAAGCCGAAAAGTGAAGGTATTGCTTTGATTGATTGTTGAGATATGTCCATTACAATAACCGGGGTCCAATATTTATACCAAAGGCTCAACTATGAGTCCTGGTTGATCAAGACTGGTTACAAAATTTGGAAAAGAAAACAAGATATCCTAAATCAAGATAACTTGGACCTCAACCTTTCCTTTCTGTGAAGTCCGACACATCTTCTTGTTTACCGTCATCTCTTGTCGATAAGGCCCCAAGATGATGACGTCATGTTACTCCAGCTGATCCCAATGATAGCTCACTTAGCCGATTTCGTGAACATCTTGGCTTCTTCCAATGAATTTTGAAATACAGGGCTCCCATGTACATCGGTCAAAATTTGGTGTCAACACGTTGCAAGCTCATGTAGACTCACTTTAGGCTGATGAAGTTAATGTCCTTGTTAGCTTGCGTTGTTGCTGGCCTTATTGCTTTGGCTTTTTGAAAGTCGGCTTTCTAAAAGTTGGCGTGTGACAAAAGCTGAGGTTATCTGGTAAACTAACTGTCCTTGCACTTTTCTTTGTTCTCCATCTAAATAGATAGTTATCTGTTCATGTTTCTAACTAGGGGTCTACTTCTTACAAATAGAAAGGGAGTGGCCCTACATCTGAACAAATCACAATAAATTGCACACCGACGGAGAGCAAAGGTTGAATAAAATAAGTCAAGAATGCATAAGTGGGGAAATGTCAAGCAAAGGTCAAATGACAAAGGAACAATATATAATGGATACAAGACAGTCTATATATTGTTTTGCTTGTATGGACAAAGATTATATTTAGAAAACAACTATGCATTGATATCGATCAAGTTGGAAGAATGAAGAAGAGAATTATCAAGGAGTAATGTTATTACGAAGATACATAAGGGTGTCAAGCCAAAATGAAAAGGATATAAGTAATCATGAATTGGCATAATCATATTGATGTTGATTCATATATATGTAACGAGAGTTATGGTATTGTGAAGAAAGAGCAAGC